AGTGTTGAATAGTTTATCCTTGTTTACCCGGTCGATTCCTCTGAGGATTTTGTAGGTTGTGATCATGTCTCCCCTTACTCTTCTGTCTTCCAGTGTCGTAAGGTGCATTTCCCGCAGCCTTTCCTCGTAACTCATGCCTCTTAGTTCTGGGACTAGTCTAGTGGCATACCTTTGGACTTTTTCCAGCTTCGTCTTGTGCTTGACAAGGTACGGGCTCCATGCTGGGGCCGCATACTTCAGGATTGGTCTTACATATGTGGTGTACAAGATTCTGAATGATTCCTTACACAGGTTCCTGAACGCTGTTCTGATGTTAGCCAGCCTCGCATATGCCGCAGACGTTATTCTTTTTATGTGGGCTTCAGGAGACAGGTTTGGTGTGATATCAACTCCTAGATCTTTCTCTCTGTTCGTTTCATTAAGTACTTCATCTCCTATTCTGTATCCTGTGTTTGGCCTCCCATTTCCACCACCTAGTTTCATTACTTTGCATTTACTCGGGTTGTGTGTGTGTGTGTGTGTGTGTGTGTGTGTGTGTGTGTGTGTGTGTGTGTGTGTGTGTGTGTGTGTGTGTGTGTGTGTGTGTGTGTGTGTGTGTGTGTGTGTGTGTGTGTGTGTGTGTGTGTGTGTGTATGTGTGTGTGTGTTAGCGAGCGAGCGTACATCACGGCTTCACGGTTGGTTGGGTCTCAAACAGATTATAATTTGCCATTTCCACCACTCTCTCTCTGGCTTCAAAATTACTCGATTATTGAGAATCTCTCGACCCCCTATCCTCCTCCCCCCTCCCCCATCCCCGTCCCTACACACTGGAGGCCGTCCTCGTCAACAAAGACCAAAAGTAACGCAGCCAACAAACCCCGCTGTTTAAAAATGTAAAACGGTTTACACACGACTCACAACTGTTGGCGTTCAAACACTTTTGGAACAGTGCTTCCCTGACGACCTCGGTTCGAATCGCAATTCTCTAAAAGCCTCAGCCACGTAGTACAAATAGAAATAATTGCCTGAAGAACTTAAAACACCTAACCTATCCCATGCCAAAATATGTTAATTTATAATAATATTAATTTGTTATGTTAATGTTATAATATTAATGTTAATTCACTATGTTAATTTATAATAATATTAATTTATTTGTGAGAAAATTCGTATTTTAAGTGAAGAGCAAGTTAATATTGGTGAAGCGTGTGTGGGGTGGAGGGCCTGACCCCAAGCCTCAGGTCGGCTACACCCTATCACCCTTTATCATCACCTTCATACACCCTACACTAAAACTTCCTATGCAAATTCAATTAGAAATACATAGTACACACACACACATATACACATCTCTCGCGTTCCCACTGGCACTGTTTACGTTCATTTACCCGTGTTCAACGTTCATTCACCCCGTTCTCATCGTTCATTCACCCCGTTCTCATCGTTCATTCACCCCGTTCTCATCGTTCATTCACCCCGTTCTCATCGTTCATTCACCCCGTTCTCATCGTTCATTCACCCCGTTCTCAACGTTCATTCACCCCGTTCTCAACGTTCATTCACCCCGTTCTCATCGTTCATTCACCCCGTTCTCATCGTTCATTCACCCCGTTCTCAACGTTCATTCACCCCGTTCTCATCGTTCATTCACCCCGTTCTCATCGTTCATTCACCCCGTTTACAACCTGTACAAATACTGTGGTTTGGGGAGTATTGGTTAGCGGGAGAGCGGCCCGGGATGCTGCCCTCAGCCCCCCTGATAGACACTCCGTCAGTCTGGCCTCACCTGTGTGTCAGTCTGGCCTCACCTGCTTGATTGATGAATACCGCGGGATCATTTGTTTTCAGGAAAAACAAAAATGTCCCAAAATTTCACGAAGGAGACGAGGAGGTTTGCTACAAGATGTATCATGTGAATGATAAATATGACAGTGGTGGTGGTGGTGCAGGTGGTGGTGGTGGTGCAGGTGGTGGTGGTGGTGCAGGTGGTGGTGGTGGTGGTGGTGGTGGTGGTGGTGCAGGTGGTGGTGGTGGTGCAGGTGGTGGTGCAGGTGGTGGTGCAGGTGGTGGTGGTGGTGGTGGTGGTGCAGGTGGTGGTGGTGGTGGTGGTGGTGTCGGTGGTGCAGGTGGTGGTGGTGGTGCAGGTGGTGGTGGTAGTGCAGGTGGTGGTGGTGGTGGTGCAGGTGGTGGTGGTGGTGCAGGTGGTGGTGGTGGTGGTGGTGGTGGTGGTGTCGGTGGTGGTGCAGGTGGTGGTGGTGGTGGTGCAGGTGGTGGTGGTGGTGCAGGTGGTGGTGCAGGTGGTGGTGGTGGTGGTGGTGGTGGTGGTGTCGGTGGTGCAGGTGGTGGTGGTGGTGGTGGTGGTGTCGGTGGTGCAGGTGGTGGTGGTGGTGCAGGTGGTGGTGGTAGTGGTTCAGGTGGTGGTGGTGGTGCAGGTGGTGGTGGTAGTGCAGGTGCAGGTGGTGGTGGTAGTGGTTCAGGTGGTGGAGATAATGGTGGTAGTGTAGGTGGAGGTGGTGACCCACCGTATGTGGAGAGACTGTTTCACCCGGTGATTTTGTAACACTGCCAGCCGTCACTGCTGTAACGTGACTGAAAATGTCACCATTGTAACGATCACTGACCATCGCGTACTGCTGTTATTGTACGACTATGGTAACACTCACTGTAACGGTCGCTATAACTGGTGCCCCTTTAAGCCAGGCATGTCACACTGAGGGCCCCCGAGGGCCGTAAGCGCCACATTTGTGTTGTCATGGGGGCCACACACCACAACTAATTGAAGTCATTTCATACAAATAATTGCAGAATTTTTATATTACTTAAACTTAGAAAGATACAATGTACATACATTGTATCTTTCATTGTATCATGTACGGTTTAGCGTCTGGCCACATTCATAAATGCAAAGTAATGAAGTAGTTTAACAAAAGGAAAAATACGAAATTTTAAACGGCAGGATAGACTTGTGCGCACCAGGAACAAACGGCAGGATAGACTTGTGCGCACCAGGAACAAACGGCAGGATAGACTTGTGCGCACCAGGAACAAACGGCAGGATAGACTTGTGCGCACCAGGAACAAACGGCAGGATAGACTTGTGCGCACCAGGAACAAACGGCAGGATAGACTTGTGCGCACCAGGAACAAACGGCAGGATAGACTTGTGCGCACCAGGAACAAACGGCAGGATAGACTTGTGCGCACCAGGAACAAACGGCAGGATAGACTTGTGCGCACCAGGAACAAACGGCAGGATAGACTTGTGCGCACCAGGAACACATACATTGTACAGAAGTTATTATTGTGTTGTTACAATTGTTACAGTCTGAAGGATTACAGTTAGCAGTAGTGATCATGGTACAGGTGGTCCGTGATCAAGGAGTACAAGGGTGACTGGGGCACAGTCCCATGGTAGCAGTGGTGTACCATTGGTACATTACAAGGGTACCATCAGGTACCGTTGGGAACGTTACAATCCAAACAGTATACAGGTGTTTAATTTCTGTCAATGGCCTTTCTAAATCCTTACTGTCTGGAACCACTTGGATAATAGGTGTGTGTGTGTGTGTATTTACTATTTGTATCTCCAGAGTCGAGCTATTAGCTCTTGGACCCCGACTTTCTAACCAATTTATTTTTCCTCTATTATGTCTACTACATATATTTATCTTACACACACACACACTCTCCCCATTCTCAGGAAGCAGCCAATATCAGCTATCTAAAATCCGGGTACCTATTTACTGCTAGATGAGCAGGGGCATCAGGGTGAAAGAAACTCTGCCCATATGTTTCTGCCTCGGCCGGGAATCGAACCTGGGCCATTACGACCCCAGAGCGCTGTCCACTCAGTCGCGAGGCCCCACAGTTTTTGATTATAATGTAAGCTAGTTAAAAAAAATTATACTGCAACATTAATGTTGTAATGTAAAAACGAATGTACTATAAAATATTATACTTTGAATTTACAAATCAATTATTATACTTTGAAGGTCGATCTTTTGTTTATACCTAAAATAATTTAAATATCGGGTATTACAGGATCACGGAAGAGCCGCTATTTATTAGTATTAGTCTTCACACTATACATTCCCTGGTCACATATATATTCCCTGGTTACATATATTCCCTGGTCACACATATGTATCAAATGTTCCAGAGGCGAAACGTGGATAGAGTGCAAGGATTTCATATATTTTATCGTGCAACGTCAGTTTAGATGAATCTCTAAATGACCGAATTTTTACACAGGCAAATGTGTGGTATGGTCTAGTGTGAGCTTATCTCTGTCCACACGCTGTGACGACGTCCGTCACGCTGTGACGACGTCTGTTACGTTGTGACGACGTCTGTCACGCCGTGACGACGTCTGTTACGTTGTGACGACGTCTGTCACGCTGTGACGACGTCTGTCACGCCGTGACGACGTCTGTCACGCTGCGACGACGTCTGTCACGCTCCTGTTTTCGTTACTTGCTCCTGGCAAATGTTTTGTTTGACATATTTCAATGGATAAACAATCGAGCCGCCAGCTCCTGTTTACACTATTGGATTTTCTCCCAATTCATCTGAGAGTTCTCGTGTAAGGGCAGGTGGCGGCTCCTCCCTCCCAGGAGGCCACCGGTGCTCTCCACGCCACAGTCGACTACCGGGATTGGACTGCCAACGTTTCGGGGTTTTCTTTGCGCTTAAGAGTAGCATTTGTTTGGGTTTACTAAGCCTGGGGGCGCTTGTTTAGCGTGAGCGCTAGTCACACACACCTGCGGCCCCTGTCTTCCGGACGCTACCAACACCTGGGATGGGGGGGGGAGATGGAGGGAGGGAGGGGGAGATGGAGGGGAAGTGGGGAGATGGGGGGGGGGAGATGGAGCGGGGGGGGGGGCAAGTTAAACTAATAACGACGTTAAAAATATATTCTACGATCCAAGACTCTTTGATCTATATTTGTTCTCTTTGAAGAAACGATTATTACGAAAAGCGCGAGACCTTGAACACTCTCAAGAATATCGATAATATCAG